GGTGCTGCTGTAAGTTTCCTCGAGGCGATCGATCTCTTTGGCCTGATGATGCAGTTTCCTTGTTCCTTGTGCTCACCTGATTAAATAAAGTATTACCAAATTTTTTTCAGGCCGCTTCTATTCATTTTTAACTCTTTATTGAAAATAAGTTGCAGTTGGTACACAGACACTGAAAATACATAATCACAGATTGTTCTCTCAAAAGATATTTTTATATATATAATATATACAAAAGTTGTAAACATTTTTAACTTATTTCCATACACCGTCCACTTTATACTACAATGCACATAAGGTTAGTGACAACTGCAACTCTTTGAAGCGGTCTGCTTATACAGAGGTATCTGCAAAAAAACTTCAATTTGCAAACCACATTTGGTATCAGTTTGATATTAAAACTCTTACAGAATCTGAGGTTTAAATGCATATTGCAACAAAATACAGGCAGCTGAACTTGGGTTTCAAGTTGATACAGGGAAGGCTCACTCTGAGCCTCACTGGTGGTGGGAGAGGGTCTTCGGACCCACACAGCTTCACAATGCTATCTAGAAAAGTACTAGGACTAAACCAGAATGGAACTAGACCCACCCGCTCTCCCCAGATCACTTCGGGAAAACAAAGGCTGAAAGGAAGTCTGCAAATCTACACAGTAGCTTCGATCGAGAGAAATACTGATCCCGCCAAAGTAACGATGTGATTTATTAATGAATAGACAATGACCACAGTTAGCTTCGTTTTGTTTAAGTGACCTCATAGCTGCAGCAGGCAGAACTAAGAGCCAGCCATACACCGTTTTGGGGGGTTGGTTGCGGAGGGAGAAGGGTACAAATTAACCCTGTAAGGAATTGCTGGTTGATGGAAGTAGAAAAGAAATGCCATAGTTGTCACTTGCTGTTGTAGCATGAACTGATGGGAAACTCATCCTACAAAGTGTCCAGGCAGAAGAGCCAGTGAAATCCCAACTGCTTGTAGTTGTGACTTAAAGGGAGGGATCTGCTCAAACCGCATGAGATACAGAAGCATTGTAATGGGGGGAGATCTTTTTACTAAGCATCAGTTAAGCAAAACTTCCGACTCACTAGGAATAGCTTAAAACATTGGGAAAAAAAAATCCAATTCTTTCAAATCTTTTAATATGCTTAAAATAAATATGCAAAAAACATGATGCGGTTAAACTCAGTGCTGAGACAGATGCGTGTTGTCGCAACAGAGGCTCCTGGAGCAAGGAGATTGGCAGAATACATATCCAGGAAAGATACAGGATTGTTTGAATTCTATTCTTTACACCCAAATTCACCGCTAACACTATGCAGAAGCTTTCGGCATGCTGAGAGCAGTACAATCCTGCCCTCTGCAAGCTCGAGTTAGCTGCTGGGCTTCTGAGATCTCTAGGAGAACAGAGGATATATTAAACAGCTTGCGGGGACAGCATGGGGGCAGCAGCTGGCATGGCACAAATTCACAGCACAAGCCTGGCATGCTTTTGGGACGTGGTCTGGACGGTTACAAGGAAAGCCGCTAGTGCTACTGTACCACAGCGAATGCGCGGGGAGAAAAAAAAAAAAAAAGGACGAAGGATGATGTTACGAATACTTGAACCCCAAAGAATATACTACAGTTATTACACCGATGGATCTAATTCTCTAACCATAAGCCCGTTAAGGTTATATTTAGTTACAGTCCATACCTGTATACACTAGTCTGCCTGACGAGTCACGGACACGCCGATGTGCTACGACAGTTAACGCACGGCACCGCCGATGCTGAACGACTAGCGGGGATGCTGCGGGGGCTTGCAAAGAGCCTGGAAAGAGGATTTTGGGCAAGGGGTAGGCATATGGCATCGCTGGCCAGGCGGGAAGCCGGCATCTCACCCTGCCTCTACGCATATTTTAATTAAGCAGGACCTCGACGGCTGCCGGCCTGCGCTGCCACGGGGTCAGGGAGCTACATGGGCGTTCGGCAACAGCTTCACCAAAAAAACAGAAAATGTTTTTTTTGTTCAAGGTGGCCAAACGCTCTTTCCAAGTCGTGTGTGTCTTAGGCGTTGGGGTACCATGTTAATTACGGCTTTTTCCGTCCTGCCTGACTGACACAGCCTTGGAGGGGCGACTACATTAAACCCATCGCTATTGCCTGGAAAAAAACAGACCAGTTGTGGGCTGCCTGCCTGTACAGGCGGCCTGCCTCTGCCTGCCGAGCAGCCCCAGCGCCAGCTCTGCCGCGAGGCAGACCCGATCCTTCCCCGTGCCACCCTGGCGGGGACGTCCTCCCCTCCACCGATGGGGACTGACATTTTCGGTGGCAGAGACAGCAGGGTTAAACTTCCTGGAGATGCCTGTTGATGTGGCTGGACACATTATTCCCGGCTCCGGTTTAATCAAGGAGCAATCTGTTCTGCCTTCCCACTGCCAGGAAGCCTCTCAGGCTCCCAAACCCTTCCTCCTCCTCCTCCTCCTCTCCTGCCCAGCAAAACGCAGCCAGGTCCTTGCACGCTCACCGTGCCGACTCCAAGTTAAAGGTAATACTGATTTTTGGGGAGCTGTAAAAAGCCGCTGACCTTGAGAAGAACTATGGTGCCTTGGCAGGGGGCTGAAGTCGTGCTGAAGTCGTCCCTGTTTCACCGTCGCTGCTCTTAAGGGCAGTCCCGGCGTGAGAGCGTGCGTGGGGTGTGCGTGTGTGTGCATCCCTTCTGCGTCCCACCGCCAGCGGGTGGGAGAGTGGGGAGGAAAGAAAGGCAATGCAGGCCTCGGTGCGTACATTCAGATGTTGTAATATTCAGCATGGTTACACCAGGGGTCAGGACACGTCCCGCAGTCAGACAGAGCTTTAGTTCTTTACGGTTACAAGGAAACTCTGGAACAGTTATATAGTTAGAAAAAATACAATGTACTGAACAAACATTATCTCACATACAATCAATTTAAACATTTAAATTGATTATAATTTTGCTAATATTAACACAAGTACTGTTTGTGCTGCTAAAATTTCAGTGTTCCCTCTAAGGAAAAATATTGCTACAGTTCTACCGTACCCTGTATTAAAATCCTTTGCCTTTTTTTTTTTTTTTCCCAGCAAGGCTGACTCTAGAAAAATTGCAAGGGTCCCGTAATTAATTTAGGCTTACACCGTACCGGGGTTTGGGTGTCGCTGGTCTGCTTAATGCAAGGATGTCGTGCTGCTCACCAAGCCCCGCTGGCACGGGCTACCTGCAGATGCCCCAGGGCCACCTCTTCCTTGCATTGACCAAGTGACACCTCTGATCAAGCAGTGCAGCATCCTCCTGCTCATCCTCCTGCCTCCACCGCAGGCAGCGGGGCCGAGCCCTACCTACTCCGATGATACCGTTTGGACCTCAAAGTGGGTGCAAAGGTGTCCAGAGGGAGAGACATCTCCTCTGCTGTCTCTGTGGGGAAAGCCCGTGGTGGGGACCGTGGTGGGACACCAGGTCCCGGTGCCCCCGCGTGCGGCTGTGCTCCTTGGGGAGGCTGCAGGGGTGCGGGAGAAGCGTCCAAGTTGGGAAACGCTGCCTGAAAAATCTCCACGCAGCTCCAGCGCCAGCAAAGCCAGCCTTTGCCGCAAATGCACATTTAACCCGGCCTGAATAGTTGGGGAGTCAAGTAATGCACTTTGTCACTGATAATGACTGCTCATGATGAGATTTGCTGCTTATTAATTAATGCATTTATATGCAATTTAGCAGCAGAAATGAGCTGTATTGACGACGACAAAAAAACTGCTGGGTGTTTTTGCTACAAGGAGAGCTGGGGCAGTCCAGTAACTATTGCTTGTCAAGAGGTCTGAAGGCAGCACGCAACTTTTGCCGGTGTAAACCGGCAAGGTGAAACCTGGCTCGCCAGCTGCTGGGAGAGCCAGGGGCCTCTAAGGACGGAGCTGCCACCGAGGTGGTCGGGAATTCAAGTTTCAGCTCCTCTGCTTAGTCCTTAGTGACAAATAGCTCGGATCACAGCTACCGCGCAGGCAGACAGGCAGGGAAAGCAGGCAGGCTGCTGACAAGGATCTACTGGATATTACACATTTAGTTGTTTTTGACAAGGCAGGAATTTTGCAGCTGAAAACCAAACCTGAGCCTCTTTCCCAAGTGCTTTTCATTCGCTCTCTTCTCCCACTATTTGCAAACATGGGGCCATAAGCCCCCACATGATGGACTTCAATGGCCTGTACAGTCTTTCCAATTCTCCATCTGAATTCTTCATTTCTAGAGACGGCAGGATAAAATACACGTTCACACCTGAGGTTCTGCTGCAGCTGATGACAGATGGTGGCTGCTCCCAGTATAAAAATACAAGTTCAATACCACTCCTAATTGACTTGGACACCCACCCCTGTTGTGTTGGCAGCTCTGGGTTTGAGCGTGAGTAAGTGTTCAGCGTTGCCAACCAGAAACTATTTGTAAATTTGCAAACTTTCCCAACCCCTCGGTGAAGAAGTGGAACTGCAACGCGCCATGTTTTCTGCTGGTAAAAGGCTATTCCTAATTAGCAGCCAACTATTGCTGAACTGGTTTCCAGTTTCAAACAGTAACTTTTTACATCCTCAACCAGAACCCTGTTGAAGCATAGAAACAATTTGGCTATTCAACATAACCCCAACCTGCTGTGCCCCCCCATGCCGCTTACATCCTAAGCTAAGTTTGAAACACCTGTTTGGATTTTTGTTTTTTGTACAGTAAATATATACAAATAAAAGTAACACAGACACTACTGAATTTGGCACTTTCCATGGAACATGTACAGGAAAGCTCTGCAGCCGGAGCAGCACGGGGCCAACCTCCCCAGCACTGCCCACCCACCCTCACCCTCACGAGACCGATTCTGTGTTAGCTCTGGAAGAACGAGATAAATAGCAACTCCTCAGCTACTGTGTTTTCTAACAGGAAAAGGTATTCTGGGCTTTCCCAGGCACTCGGCAGAGCCCAACACCTACTACCCGGTGTCAAGCCTCAGAGAGGGCATTTATTCATCTTTTGCCATGTGTAGGTGATGTGGTAGCAACCTTCCTTCCTTCTGACTTAGAGGGAACACTGCTTTTATAAAACCCTTGGACAGGTAAGACAAGAACCAATACCACTGTACAGAATTCACTGCACAACTAGCTAATAGTAAGGAACCCAGCACTGACTTGCCACATTAAGGAAATGGGACTGAATACATTTGCAATCAACCAGTTAAGTGTACTGCACCGTAGGACTCGGTCTCTTGGTACGCGGCCCTTGCCCCTCAGTACGCTGGCACTTGGTAACCTTTCGGGTTGGCGTCTAAGGTCTCGGTGAAGGGGGGGCTCTGGTAGGTCTCTGTGCTCTCGATGCCGCTGCCGGTGGGGTAGCCGGGGTATGCCGCGTTGGGGTCGGTGGCGAACTGATCGGTGGCAAAGAGCGACATGTCCGTCCCCAGGCGGTATCTCTGCAGTGCCTTCACCGCCAGCGCGACCTGCCGTGGGATGGAGGAAGGTTGGGGGGGGATGACAACACTGTGCCCAGGACCCCACGACCCCCCCAGGACCCTGCATCCCGCCAGCTCGCCGCAAAGCACCGAGCGCATCGCAGCATCCCAGGCGGCTGCTGGCCCCCCTCCGTTATAGCCCAGAGCTAAACCAACCCCAAACCACAACCCCTAATGCTAAAGAAGCCATTTCTCTGTGACAGGTTGTTCCCCCAAAGCTCTGCCTGGGCTGGGGGTCGCAGCCTGGGCTCGGGTCCCTGGTTGTGCAGATTTGGCACCACCGGCACCAATAAACCCATCTGCTGCGGGGAAGGAAAGCTGCTGAGTCCCGGGCCAGCAAAATAGGTCAGTTCTGCCGAGACTCCTTCACCCTCTTCCAGGTTGCCAGTATTCAGGTCGCAAACCGTGGGAAATGCGGGCGGGCAGAGCTGCGAGCGCACCACGCTCGCTCTTATTTCAGGAGGTTTCATTAACAATTCAATTAGTTTATAAATGACAGGCTCAGGGGAGGGAAAAAAGCGCCCGCAGACACCGAGAATGGCTTCCCAACCACCGCCCAGCACCCACTCCCCGGCCAGTGCCAGTGCCAGCTGGGCAGGCGCTGGTTGTGTGCCACGTATCGATCCCGCAGAGCACCTGGGTTTATTAACGGTACCAGTGGAGGGGCTGCCGGTGTGACCCCACATCCCGGCCGTCCTCTGTGCTGGTAAGCACGGGACTGGCATCTCCACTGTCCTCCCTGGGGTGGGAGCAGATGCTGATGGGATGGGGGAGAGCATCCCACCCAGTGGCCTTCCCTGCCGGCTGCATTAAATGGGCAGTCTGGCAATACGGCGATGGAGAAGAGCTGCGGGGGAGCTGGGATTAAAAGAGATTTATTTGGATAATAATAGAGCGGGGAGCAGTTAAACTGGCAAGTAACTGGAGCCAGGCCTGCTGCTGGAAAGCCTCAAGACTGTCTTTTGCCCCAATTCTTCTAAGGCAATATAGAATTAGTGCACATCTTGGGTGCTCTCTGCCCATGAAAAGCCCGAGGGGGGTGGCAGTGATGCAGGGGCCATCCCTGCTCCTCCATGCACAGCCTGCAGAGCAGGAGCCCCCCGCATGGTGCAGGCACCCCCAGGCACACGTGGGGTCCAGCTGCTGCAGTCAAGGGGCCCCCCCCAGGGTTTTGCACACCCCTGGCAAACGTACTTCTGCCACTGTATGGCCCTGGGGATGCGCAGAGCCTAAAAGCAGGAGCAAAGGGGGTTTTTGCAAGCCTCTGCCTCCAGGGTGGGCAGCAGAGGAGCCAGCCTGGCTTCCCCCGAGGGTGAGCTGATGAGCCTGAGAGCTCCCAAAATCCCCCTGCCATCCCATGAGACCAGCTCATCACAGTAATCTGCTCCTAGGGACTTGTTCGCTTCCAACCGAGCTGCTCCCAGGGGTCTAATGAGGCCCTGAAATGAGGGCAGCTCGTGGCTGGTGACACGTTTTCAATGGGAAAGCAACTTTCTAGCCGCAGGAAAAGGGGAAGTCTGGAATTTCCCAGTGAGTGGGGACTGAGCTGATGCTTCCCGGATAAGAAACCACAAGTTTCATCTCTATTTGGAGGGACCGCAGGTTTCCTCAGTACAGCCTCTTGACACCGACCAGGATTCACTTCTCCAAACCATGCCCCAGATTCTTCCTCCCAGCTCAGCGCTGAGCCCACAGCAGGTTTCATTTCTCATCTCCCCACCTTAGCTCCGAAGCTGAACTCACCCAGACAATGATGGAGAAGAAAGAGAAGGTGATCGCTGCCTGGGCGGCGTCTGCTCCTTGTGAAACCCCTTTGCTCATCGTCGTCCATTGCCACTGGTTTGCTAGGAAGCAGAAGGCTACAAACCAGAGGAAAGACAAGAAACCTGAAAGAGAACAGAGCTGGTCAGTGCTGTCCCTGCCCACCACCTCCTCTGCTGCAAGGACCCCTGTTTGCTGATGCACAAACACACTGCCATCACCATTTTCAAACAGCAACCGTGTTCTTGGGTGCCTTGGCCTGTGGTGTGGCCCAAATGGAGCTATTTTAAAAGAGGCTGATTTGCAATCACTGCAAAAACAGAGATGGAAGGAACCTTGAAGGGTCACCCAGTGTGTTGCCTGCCTGAACTTTAGCTCATCTACATCTGAACCTGATCTCAAAGACCTACAGGGACAGCACACCCTCTCTGGACATGCGGTCCTCACAGTCTGTGGGATTTCAGCCTGCTCGCAGGTGTTGAGATGCTACCGACTCAGTTCCAGCATCCCAGTGTGTCGACCCCACCATTCCCTCCATTCCCTGGACACCACCGGCTCTTAGACGCTTTGGACCGGATAGTGCAGACCTCACCCAGGAAGAAGCCTGCACTCCTGGGAGCAGCACCAGGCTGCTCGGCTGATGCAGGAGATGGCTTTACAGCGGTTCTGCTTCTGCCTTGGTCCAAGGACACAGCTGGAGAGCTTAAAGAGAGGCAAGGAACAATCACCCAGGAATATGGACAGGCTGAGGTTAACCCCTGCTCTGAACACCAGGATCACGAGTGACCCTAGGACATCAGTGCATTCCAGGAGCGCAGTGAACGAGCAAGTCCTCATTCTGCGCTGTGCCCAGGGCAGGGATGCGGCAGGGCTGCCCATGGAGCTGAGAAGCACACGGGCTTCACATGAGAGAGCTCTGCTCATCCCTGCTGCCCTCCGCTGACTGTGCTCCTCTTCTCAGCCTCTCTGGGCTCTGTGTGATTGAGCAAAAATGCTCTGGTGATTATTCCTTACTGGAACCAAAGCTGGCTGAGCAAGATAGGGCTGCAGCTCCCCTAATTCAATCACCAGCCAACAGCACTGCCTGATGCCAAGGAGCTCAGAAAATAGTCAAGAAGCAAGCCATAAGCTCACAGTGTAAGGAGCAGTGATGCTTTCCAGCACGGAGAAGAGAAGCTGCACAAGCTGGAGCCTTCCATGATGCTGTTTTAAGGGTCTCCAGCTTTCCCAAGCATCCCCAGCACAAAGGTCCCCCCGCTTGCTGATTCCGGGTGTCAGTGCATGTGGGGACACTGGGCACCAGCAGATGGGATGCTGAGCTATGCAGCACCTTCCCAAGGATCATTAGCACATCAGTATGAGCAGCCACACTGTCAGTCCCATGGGGCAGCCAGCTGCAAAGCACAGTCTGGCTGCAGGGAGAGGAAAGAAGCTTCCTTTATTCCTCTCTATCTTCCCAGTTGTTCCTAAGTACGATATAAAATGCATGCGTGCATCCACATCCAGTGAGAGAGTTACAAGGCTCATTGCACACCTCACCTTTAATAAGGAATTTGCTCCTAGCTGCAGTTTAAGATGACACACTCCTCATCTCCTTCTCTTGCATGACTGGTCCTGGGGCTTCCCAATCAGTGATGCTTTTATCAGCCTGGCCATACCTGAGCCCTTGAACTGCCCTCACAGCAGCACAACCTCCAGCGAGGATCATACAGGCTTTCCTTTTCCAAATTACAGACTAACACAACAGCCTCATTTTGCCAAATACAGCTAATGCCTGCCACCAAAACGGCCCCAAATCTCTGCATATACATTTTCACTTCCCCTTAGGATGACCACTTGTCATCAGTGTCAAACAAGACCTCTGGGGTTTATTCCTTAAACGTCATCCTCAGGAACAGAGACACTTTCTAGTTCCCCAGCTCTGTTATAGCGGGGCTTTCCCAGCAACTGGCCCCTGTTAGGGAAAGCAGATCCAACCCCTAAATGTGGACACAGGAAGATGCATGCCCTAGATACGGCGTTGGCTGCAGCTCGGATGACCGGTATGTGGTGAGCGTGGTGGGTAGTGGTGTCCCGACAGGTCTCAGTGCAGGAGATGCTGAACCGCATCTCCAGATGCTGCACTGCTGCAGCACTCCCACCTCTGCGTACTTGGGGAGCAAACGCCACGGCAGTGGGGAGTAACTGCCCTCCTGCTCAGTCAGGAGTTTCTCACTCAAAAACGCGCTTTCCTGGAGACAGTGGTGTTTGGAAGTTGAAAGACCAGAGATGAAACATAAGAGCAGCTCCCAACAGGTTAATTCAGAGCCGCACCGTGAGGAGCAGAGGGATGCTCAGGGACAAGCTCTGGGGCCATGCAGTGCTGGCACCGAGAGACGTGGGGTGTCTGCAACAGGACTAGGCTGTGTCACTGGTTTATGGAGGATGAACTTGTTCAGGAGGACTGTTTCTCTGTTTAACACTCCATCTAGTGCAGTTTGTCCTCCCTCTTACGCTCCTGGGCAGGACACTACCACAGAGCACGAGTCACAGCCATGACACTGGGACCGCCCGCCAACCAGCAGCACAAAGCCCCATCTACCGCTGGTGCCTTCTAAGGGTTTTCAAGAGTTAAAATGACATCATGCACATCTCTGAACATGCACCGGCTGCGCTGGGTATTGCAGCTACCGACTTCCTCTGCAACACTGAGAGATGCGAGACGCTGACCTTCCCAGTGCTAAAACCATTCACTTCTTCAGCCAGAAATGCCTAGCGGTGGTCGCTTCTGCTGCCACCCATGTAGACTTCCCGGAGGTTTCGCAACGCAGAAACAAGCCGTTCCCTTCCACATCCAGCTCTGCCTGGATCCCTAAGAAGGAGGATTCCCTCCAGTGCCCTGGGGGAGCGGGAAGGCAGGTATTGCTGTCAACAGGGGAGATGGGGTCAGGCATGGAGAGCATCTCCAGAAACACCAGCCAGGTGTTGTTTGAAGTTTGGAGGACTGACACACGCCTGCATGTGAGATCAGACCTCGCAGGGTGTTCTATGGGAACTATTTTTGTTTCTGTACCGGCGTTTATTTTCATTTGTGATCACGTTCACCTTCTGCTAGCACTCCTTCGAGTAGAGGCTTTGCACCCGATAATGTGAATCAGACCCATGGGACTGCAGCTGACTCCCCTCGCACCCGGAGCCTCACCGGGAACACGGCTGTGCCCTCGTCCAGCACCCGCATGGTTCCAGTCCCGCAGAGCAGTGCCTGCTCCCAGCCCCTGGTGCATTTACAGCACCAGGTGTAAGCGGGTGTTTTGGAGGTGTCTCTTGCTACCCTCGAATTAAACCTCACCAAGAGGGCTGAGCTGCCACTGGTTTGGTGAGGCTACGTGTGTGCTGGTCCCAACTCCAGCTGGAAGCAGGCACGGTAGCAGCTCTGCACCCTCCAGCTCGCTGGGGAAAAGGAGAATGCCAGGAAGCACCGCAAGAGCCAGTAGATAATTATCGTTTTAGGATCTGCAGACATCAGAGTGCAAACACCAGGGAAGATGTGTTACAGCCATAATTACAGCCTGGTCCCAAGCAAGCACACATCTACAGGAGCAGCTGTAAGAGCAGATGGAAGAGAAAGTCGCAAATGCCATTTGCACAGCGCGGTGGCCCTGCCTGCACCCCTGCCTGCGCCCTTGCCTGCGCCCCAGCATTACCTCCCAGCCGGCTCGGTGGCTCTGATCTGCCACTGATCTGATGTACAAGTCCTCTTTCCTTCAAGCGAAAGAAAGCTGTGGGTTAACGCTTTCATTAACTCCCCCCACAGCCTCCATAGACAGCAAATGCCAGTTGACATCTGCTTCACCAGCAGCCAGCATCAGGCTCCTGGGTGACCCAGGCAAAGGACCAGAAACAATCTGCTTTTCTCCCCCCCACCCCCCGCTCCAGTTTGCAATGCTCCCTCGTACCCTAGCCTGTTCCTCACCTGGTTCTCTCCCAGATGCATTTTCAGCTTTTATATTAAGCAATAATGCAGAGATCACATACAGAGAGAAAGGATGAAACAGTTGCAAGGAAGCAGGAGGAAACCAAGCATCCCATCCTTGGTGGGGAGGAAAAAAGAAGGGGACAGCATAAGAGAGTGTGACAGGTGAAGTCTCCAGGGGTTATTAACGTGGAGGTAGTTAAACAAGGCAAATTACATGGGTCAGCTCTGCCTCTGGGCAGGTTGGGTGCCTGAGGCTGCTAGGAGCAGTGCAGGGGGGGTACCGTAGGCTGCGATCTCTGCAGCTGCAGAGGCTTCACGTCCCAACAAAACCCAGCACTTCATCTCTGCTACAGGATCTGCTTGTATCGACGCTTACTCTGGGACCAAACAACTGCCTGGCATTTCCACGTGAGTGGGTGTACAGGCTACGGCAGTAGGGCTGTAAGAAAAGTTTGGAGCAGTCATAATTTTAGAAAAGTGAAGGCACAATAGGAATGGGATAAAATACGCTGACCAATTCCTCCTGCCAGAGCTCAGGGACCCACACCCACCCCTGGGAGCCAACGGGGTAACTGCACATCAGCAGCGCTGCACCGAATTTGGGCTTAGGAGGAGATGGGAAAAACAGCACTGGGTGGAGATGTGTTCACCTGCGACCACGGACTTTGTTACAAGAGCCCCGGACAACGCTCCCATTCATATCAGCACCAAGCTGGATTTCGGCATTTGCTAGGGTGCCCTGTGGGAAATGGTTCATTAGGCAGGGATCGTACAAGAGCAGCGAGAAAGGTAAGGAGCTGCTGGCGGGGAGATGTACCAGGCAGCATGAACAGAGGCAATGCCAGGCTGGAGGGGAGCTCTGGAAGACCGCTCTTTGCAGACCCCGATAGGTGACACTGTGCCGGTCACAGACATGTGTCCACATGATCTGCATGTAAGTGATCAATTTGTTTTACCAGCAAGGAAGTGGCTTGCTTGTTTTCTACCAAGAAGCCCACAGAGGGGATGGCCCAAGGGAGCAGGACATCTTTGCCCAGACACAGGCTGCAGACACGATGCACCCAGAACACACCCATTGATCCTGGGGTAATAAAAAAGTCACAACTGCATTGGGTGGATTTACCAGTGCAGACCTCTGGTGCGGTACTGCAGCCTGTCCCCAGGGCAGAGCGCAACCCCTGCACGGCAGAGGCTTTGCAGGGCAGAACTTGTCTTCTCCGGCTCGCTGCTGAAGCCTGTGAATGCACACATGATGCATGACAAGTACAAAAGAGAAATGAGGCAGAGATTGAGAGCGGCACCATTTCACACATGCCTGGCAGGGGAGAGAACGGTTGTTACAAGGTGGAAGGCAGGGAGGATCACAGCCTTGCTCCACGACACGCAGCATCAGCCAGAAGATGGATGTGATGTCCCCCTTCTGTTTGAATCAAAGGGTTGCAGGCACTGAGCCCCACGGAAGGGGCTGTAAATATCATCTAACAAGGGCTGGATGCTGGTTCTGTAGCACCGTGGAAATAAGCTTTCCAGCAAGGAGAGAACATCCTTAACAACAGGCAAACACAGGGAGGCGATGATGGATGTTTTCATTTGGGACTAGAGAGCCATCAGCGATGCTTGTGCTGGATAAATCACCTTCAGACTAACACAAGAGCCTGGAAATGGAGAACATCAGCTGCAAACTCAGCCAGGCAACTCCCACAGCAGCCATGCGGAGGATGGCCTCTCCTGGCTCAAGGCATCCCGCCTGCTTGTGTTCGCACGGTTAAGCCCCAGGTCAAAGGGGCTCAAGATGGTGCAGAAGATCTGTGCCAGCCCTTAGGAGCCCCAGACCCACCTGCACACTGCAGTCCTGGAGACAGCGGGGTATTACAGTGGTACGTAGAAGTACACTTCTGCTTTCTTCCAAAACCCACATGCGCAAAGTGAAAACAGACCCAGATGTAACTGATGAAACGACATCCACTTGAGCCAGAAACGGGAGATGTGGGAGGGTAAAACACCTCGTCTGGTCTCTGAGATGTGACCACCAAGCCTCATTTCTCTGGGTGGCCTCACCGAACCCAGCTCAGCAAACGTCTCCAGTTGCAGAAGTGAAACAGACGAGCGGGACACCCCACCGTCCCCAAGCCGCCACACACCGGCTTCCTCGCTGCTGCCTCTGAGCTCACGGCTGGATGGGATAACCCATCCGCCAGCCCTGTTCTCCCCGACTGAGGCACACGAGTCATGCCACGCCGTGGGAGGAGAGAGGAGGACTCAAGCGTGGTGCTGCAGGGCGCAGCGACGACCCCGCGCTGCCCATGGAGCCAGCATCATCCTTCACAAACACAGCAAAGCCAGAGACATACCTGAAAAGCCAAGGTCCAGCAGGACGGCCCGTTTGCGGTCCTTCACGCTGCTGATCTGCTGGAAGTAGAGGTCCACGACAAAGAAGAAGATGCAGCCGAAGAAGGCAATGATGCCAACGGCGATGCCATAGCTGCAGGCACTCTCATTCTCATTGAAGATGCAGAGCAGCTCAGGGTTCTGGCTGTCCTTGTTCACGTAGCACTCGTTCACTATGGAGCCAAACACCACGATGGAGAAGATCTGCAGAAGGAAGGAGAAAACACAACTTGCTGCTGTTTACATTTAACTCTGTTTTCCAACAGCATCATAATTGTATTCAATCCTGTCTTTGACTCCATGGCAACATGGCATTTGTTAGACAGATCCCGACAGATCGCATCTGCTTGGCGGCCCTAACCAATGGGCTGGTGGACGGTACCTAGGTCTTCCTTCTCTGTGAGTCTGTCTGCCTTTCAGTGGCTTGGTCTGCAGAGTATTTTAAGAGATGTTGTTCTCCAGACAGGCTGGGGAGGGAAAAAATAAATAGATGGGCCAGGTCTCTGCAGAGTCTTTCTGCTCGTGCTGCTCCGCTGTCAGGCTGTGCTCAATAAACCCCTTTGTGTCACTGCGGAGCAGGGAGAAATGAAGTTACAGCGGATAATTGAGTTGCTGAGCAGGCTGACCTGGGGAAGGACTGGATGCCCAGTGGAGGGGGGACGGGACATGACAGCGTGGGGAGGTGGGGAGCTGCCTACCTGGGCGCAGCGGGGCAGGGGGAGAGGCTGCCCTGTGAACAACAGGGCCATTTTTTGCCTGGCTTAGCAGGGGTTGAAGGATGCAGCGCCTGCATCCATTATCCACTGACCTGGTTTCAGCCCTGTGAGGGACAAAAGGGGCAGGGGGTTTGCCGGTGGCTGCCCAGCTCCTGCCGCCGGGACCCGAGGGTGTTTCACGTCCCTGCAGGCAGGAAAGGAGCCGGATGGCAGCACGCAGCCAGCTGCCTAAATTAATACCATTCATGATGCTAAAGTAATTCCCTTATTCCTCCAACACCAAAGGCAGCAAGCAGAAGCTGCCTTACAATTCACTCTGGAACCTGCTCCATTAAGAGCCTGGAAAGCGCTGCACCGCTGTTTGGATTTCAAGGCGGAGAGCAGGGAGGGAAGCAAGGCGTGCAGGGGCCCCTCCATCAAGCTGTGAACCTCTGATCTCGTCCCTCGCTGCCGGCACCAGCTCCCCGCATCCCTGCACATCCCTGCACATCCCTGCACATCCCTGCACGCCTGCCAGCCCCGCCGGCTCGCAGGACACAGCTGGAGGCCACGTATGCAAGCGGAGAGATAAGAGGCTCCTCCAGCATGCCCCAGCACGGTGGCTGCCCAGGAGCAGCCGGGGTCTCGGGGTACGGTGCAGCTCCCGCTCGGGATGCCCCGCTACGTCTTCTGCGGTAACAGCACAACAGCACCAAGTGCACGAGACTGAGACACGCGACAGACAGAGGCGGCAGCCAACGAGCCACACGATAAACTTTGGAAAGTCACCTGCATCTCACGGCTGATGCCCGGCTGCGGGCATCACCTCCTACAGCCCCGCACTCCCCGAAGCGCAGTGTTAGCAGAGCTGGGTGAAACGGAGCAGAAGCCACTACGAGCAAACCATTCAGAAAGCTCTAACCACTCTTTCACACAACATCGTGATAGACGTTTTCTCCCAAGCGCTGGCCAAGCGTCTCACTTCTGCCTGCCCCGAAGGATTTCATTCGGATTTCTCTCCTCCAAACTCCTTCCAGTGCTGGGGTGAAGCTGCGCCAGAGCTTCTGTCTGAAGCTACTTACAAATGCAAGTGTCCCATCAGCAAACACGTCTCAGATTGTCTCCACTAAGTCTCCTCCAAAGTGGAGAACAAAGAAATGGATCTGCAAGGGACTGAATTACTAAAATGTGAAGGATTGGTGAGGGATTTTTTTTTTTTCTCTGTAGGGTGTCATCTGAAATAAATGATGACCAGAAGCAGCAGGGAGAGTCTCTGGAGTACATCCTACCTCAAGTGTGTAGGAGCTTGAGAAAGCAGTTACCCCAGCACCCCAAGCCTGGGACTGTGCCACCAGCTTCTCATGCTGATATCTGCAAGGACGTGATGGACGAGCAGGTTGCACCATGCTCACTCCCGCCTCCAGATACCCACCAGCAGGACAACCGAGAGCGGGGCTCTTCTTTAAACCCTTTCAGCCAGGAGCTCTTTTAGTGACGGCAGACTCCTATTGCTTCTAGCACTTAAAATTCAGGCCAGCAGTAAGCTGGCCGGTGCCGGGTGGTGAAGATGCTCTGAAACCTGCTTGCTAATTTAGCTGGCATCCCTGAGCTACCCAAAGATGTGCAGGAGGTCCCACTGCACGGTGAGAAGGAGAGCAGAGCTCACCCTTGACACCCGGCACTGCTGACGACGGTGGATGGAGAGAGCGGCTGTCCTGCCCTGCTCAGCTGGGAGCGGGCAAAATCCTGCAAAATTCCCCCAGGGATGCACCCACGAGTCCCAGCAGCAGCTCTTTGGGGCTCTTTCCATCAAAACACCTTGTGTAACTCCCATTGCTGCCCTAAACCCCCACTGGCTCTGCGCTGGCCCCTTCTCTCCATGCTTAGCCAAGGGGATCAGCATGTCCATCCCAGCAGAGGCGAGCACGCATCCCCATCTATGCGACAGGCAGCAGGAGTGGGTTTCAGCCCTGGAAACGCTCCTCAGCCCCAGGAATTAGCCCATTCTTGAACGACGCCCTCCTAGAAACGTGGATTTCCAAATGTGCATCTGCAAAGTTCAGGTGCAGCCTTTGATTTCCCCTGGAGCGCTAACAGGGGATAGAAAGTACGTATGTCCCACGGACGTCTCCATGGCTGGCACAGGGAGATAATCAGGCCTTCCTCCTCTTCAAATTTAACCACAACCTGGGGTCCTGTCCCCCATCCATCCCCAGCTCATCTCAGCTCTGAGCACCAGCCACCTGAGTCACCCGCTCGCATTTGCACCCTCTTCCTCGCTGGCGCTGCACTTACGGAGCACTCGGCTGTCACACCGCAACGGGCACATCATCATCATGCAAAGAATAAGAGGGTTGCTTTGTAAGAAAGAAACAACAACAAACAGTAATAATAATTTTCCCAGTGCTTTGGCAGCAGCTGTAATATCAGCAGTTGTAAAAATCTGTTCATAAATAATGCAAAATTGTTATTTACCATCAGAAATAGCAGCAGCATTTATAAAACAGGCCCTGGAAGAAATAATGTGATTCTGGAAAACATGAATAATTGAGAACCTCTGATTCCACGGGATTATTTCTCTGGCAGGCCAGCGAACTCGTACTCAGCTTCTCCAATAAGTGTTTTAGTCCTCCCAGGATTAACAACCCGCACTCCTTCTTTGTGCTTTCGGGTGCCTACTAGGAGCTCACAGTTTCAGTGGGTGAGGGAGGGCTCCCGTAAATACGATTAAGGACGTTACAGGACAGGGTGTCTGGCTGCCTCCATGCAGGTTTGCACACCTGGGGCTGTCGGAGGATGCCCATGGAGCACTTCTGGAATGGCTGCAAGCACAATTATTACCGGCGATGGAAAAAAAAAAAGATGTTTCAACACTTAACTTCAAACTCCAGAGAGTTTTGCAAAGCAAAGCAACCTTCTTGCTGCCAGACGACCTGAGTGGCTCACCCCACGAGACCCCCTCGACTGGGCGCTGCCTGCAGCGTTTCGGTGCAGGCAACATGGGACACACGGCTTCTTCTCAGGATGCCAAAATAGTAACTAATTGCAAGCACACGCATTTGATAGATGTGCTCAAAACATCAGCTCTGGCTGAAATACTCCTGTCAAAACATGCTTTTCAGTGAAAACAAGTCTTTCTATGGGTTTTCTCTCCCACCCCCCACAATGGAAATTTTATAGTTTTTCTTAAAAAAATAACTGGTGCTGGTGAAACATGTTAATGACAATAGATTTGGCATTGTCTTTCTAAGTATAGATGAAAAAAAATTTTTGAGAAAATGTGGGTAGGTGGGGGAAAATAAAACCCACATGATTTTTTTAAAGTTCATGCAAAACAAGTGCCCTTTTCCAAAGACCTCTACAAACAGCACTTGCTCAAACCCACAACCAGTTCATCAGAGACTTGAAAGCAAAAATACAAGGTCAGATTTTCCACTGCGAGTGAGGTTTTATGGCTCTGAGCAAGGATGCAGGGATCCTGCTCTCCAGAGGCACTCCTCCGACTCCCACCTCCTCCTGCCTCTCAGGTCGGTCCCCAAAACTGCAATCCCCATGACCAAGGGGGGCTGTGACAGCACTCGGGACCAAGCGCCAAGGTCACCGGCATGCACAGCACCGTGTCCCAAGGCCACCCACCCTTCTAATGGGGCTCCTCCGTATCTCACAGGCTTTGCAAAGGCACCTGCGCATTCACAGGACACTCCGTTTTCCAGCTGAATGACCCAACACAACCAGCAACAAGTTTTGCTCTTGCTGGGTGAACCGGCGCAAGACACGATATGGAAACTGGATTACCTCCAGCCAAACCCAGTACGAAATTGCCTCCCGCCTGCCAAAGCTTTCACATCAATCCGCTCGCAGCTCGGGGTCTCCTGGCCAGCAGCCTGGCGTGTGGGTTGCTCAGCCCTGACTCTCCCCGGTGTCCGAGAGCGGCTGGGAGCCGCCGGCACACGGCTCCGGCAGCTCCGGCGGCACAGACCATTAGCGATCCTCTCGGCATTCAGCTGAGAGGAGGGATGGGAAGGAGGAAAGCTGTCTTCTCCCATCCCTTCCATTAAGACTTGCACTTCAGCCACACAAAGGAGCTTCTGTGCCTCGGTTGCACCCTGGGAGGGAGAACAACGCCGGTCAGGGAGATGCGTGAAGTGCTTGGACCCACGATGACGCAGATCAGCTGCTCGTGCAAGTGCAAAGGGAGCTCGTGTTACACCAGACCAGCAAGAAGCCAGGGACCTTGCTTCTTAATGAAAGCCAGCTGCCCAGTTCCCCCAGTTTAAAGCTTGCTTCCAAGCAAGAGGGGCCACCTTGCTGGGGCCAACGAGCATCTCTGTAACGCAGGACAAAGGGACGGGTCTCAGCAGCGATCGGTGACAGGGTCTGGGTACACCGGCCACGACAGACTCTGGCGAGGGGCTGGTGCAAAGCCGAAACCAGAGGGGGTTTGCGTATCACCCTAAAAACCTGGGAGAGCACCCTAGGGATGGTGCTGAGGCTGGAGGCTGCGTCTGA